TCTTAAAGCCAACACTAAATATTTTATTTCTTGTGCTTTATTTTTCAGGTCTCTGGCCTCTAAGTTAGTATCATTTAATTAACCACCTAGTTCAAAAGACATCCCAGCCTCAGAGGATCTGTTTATACTCTCTGAAAAAGACTCAAAAGCCAATAAATAAATCTGCTTAAAATAAAAGGTTAAAATTCCAGCTGTCATCCCAGCTCTCCCTGCACTACCAGCAAGAAACTCTGGTGGTTTTCATCATCTTCTTTTTCAGTTTCTGTAATACAGTCCAGAACAGGCTCAAGAAATATCTCACCTATGACAGAGCAGCAATAAACAGACTGCAAGTTCTAATGGCTAATAATACTTTGTTTTAATTATATATGTTAAGAAAAAGATAATTAGAAACCTAAAGAGTTTAATGTATATTTAAAATGTACAAGAGTTTCCATCATGATAGGGCTAATGAACCTCTGCCAGCTCCTTTTATGTGGTTTAAAGTATTTTAATACATAGGGTAGGATCAAGTAATCTACCTGTAAAGAAAAACAAAGTAAAAATTAATTAGCAAATTGGATACATGTTGTACAGCCACAACATACCCCATACAGCCACAAGTACCCCACACAAAAACTAAAAGGATGCCGAAAAATTAAACTCCCTTAGCAGCACACAGACACTGGACACTGGGATTTAACCTGAAAAAACCTTTCACATCCCATGGCGTTCCTTCCAAACCTGCTCCTGCCGGATACAGCTTTAAACCCAGACTCAGGAGGAGACCAATCTTTACACAAAACAAAAGCAACCACAATTTGCCCTAGAGAGCCCCATCAAAGTGTTTTCCCCAAAATAAACAGCTCTATAAAGCAACACACTACTGGATATAAATTTAGACTCTGCTCTGTACCACGTCACAGGGGCAGGAAACCAAACGCTTGCCTAAAAGTGAGCATTTTTAGGGAAGAAGAAAAAAAGAAGCTTAAAACCTAAAAATAGTTTGGAAAAAAAAGCTAGAAGTGGTTTCAACCACATTGGAACTCTCCGGTATTTTTACCTCTGAAACTACGGTTCAACAGGCATCATTACAAATATAGACCAACACAAGCTGAAAATCGAAGTGTAATAAAAAGCTTCCAAATCTCAACTCCTCCAATTAAAATGCATTTACAGATATCATTTACAGGTATCAGGTCTTGCTTAACCTCTGTCCAGTCAGAAGGCTGTTGAAGCAGGGTTAGAAAATCCTGAGCACCTCCATGTCCAGCATAGACACCGGACTAGGAAACACGGAAAGGTACTCATGACTGACCTGCAAAGCATCAGATAAAATATCCAGAATTAATTGCAGGTTTGAAAGAAACAAGCTACCTCCAAGTGTTTACAAAGCCAGGGCATTTTAAAGCCCTGCTTCATTGTTATTCTAACAGCAAAAGTAAATTCTGCCTATGTACTTATGGCTGGACCACATACCTTCCCATCAGGGCACAAAGGCTTATCTGTGGGTAAGGAGCACATACCGTGTAGGTTCCTAAGCGGCTGGTAACAATCCAAAGAACAACACAAAGCTTCCTCCCGTAAGTAATTGTAAAACCAATGAAAAAGGAGAATTCCCCCCTAAAATTACCCAGGACACTTGCCCACCCATCAGCATCCGAGCCGACTCAAGGGCAAACCATATTATTCCATACTGGGGAGCGCAGGCGAGAAACATGAATTTGTTCTGCCAGATTACAGCTTACTGTCAAAATCCACCAAAGGTCTTTTCTCTCTCCAAAAACCCAAGAGATAATAGCGTAAAAACTTTTGTTCATAAATATTTATGCAAGTGAACTTGTTAAAAATTAACCGCTGTCGTTAAAGGTTTTGTATCCTTTAGGATTCCCGGCATGCAGTGCAGTTGAATGCTTTATATTAAGCCTGGCATTTCTGCATTCCTTTCCTGCATGCTTTTGTCATTTGTCTAAAAATTAAAAGAAAAAAATCCCACACACCACACACACACAAAGACGGGATCTGTACACATAATAATAAAGCAGTTTTTAAGAAGACAAAGATGCCTGTGTTCAACATCCAAGATCTTTCTTTGAGCAGGGGGGAAAAAAAAATCAATTTAATGACTCCAGTGAGATCAGGGTTTAAGCCTCGTTTAAGTTTTACTAAGCATGAAGGAATTATTGGTTGATAATGTGGCATATATGTTTCTTTCAGACCTGCCAGCTTTGTAAGCACGAAGGAGCCAGAGCCTGAAGCACTTTGTGCCCATGAGCACAACCCTCACCCCTCCACACCATCCTCCATTGCCAGAAGGTCATTCCTCCTGGATTTTGTCTTTCAGTTTTTCAAAAGGATTTTTCCAACCACACAGAGAAGGAATTTCACATCTGTACTATCCCTATTTTTTCACAGGTCTGAGTCAGAAACACAACTGTATAAACATCTGATCTTTATTAACAGCAAATCTCAACTGTGCAAAGCTCAGGTCATGGCGCCGGGAGCCGGTGGTGTCCGTTAAAAGGATCTTTAGAGGGGAACAGTAGTTTTGATTTAGAGCTGGAGAGCATCAAGGAAGCCAGGGCTGGAGTTTTATTTTTTTCCAAGACATAATGGTTCCCAAGTTCCTATCTTAATTGCAAACACACACACAGCCACAAAGTGTTTGTGTCTCTGGTGGCTGGAGCTCTTCCACCTCACCTTCCAGAGGCATCCACAGGATGGATGTGGAAAGTTGGCAGAGGACATCTCAGCTTTGCCTCCTGTCTATAAACACACAGCCTTTCACGGCCTTTTGTTTGATGTAAATTTTCCTCCTCCAGCTCAGGGCTGCAAGGCACTGCTGTGACGTGGCTGCTCCTGGGACAAAAACAGAGGTGTCTGACCCCACACCACCCACCCACTGCCGTGTGAAGAGGAGCCACACTACAACCAAGACCTAAATTTTCTCCCCCCAGCTCCAAAAGCAAATTCCCACAGCGAGCATCCCGCACGCCCCTTTCAAGCTGTGAAAACAGGAGATAAATCACCCACCGACTTTGCGGCGAGCGCTTCCAGAACGTGCTGCTTCATCTAAAAAGCTGACGGCTCAGAGGACAATGAGCTTGAGCTCTGGTTTCAAAGCTGGGGAGATGGTTTAGACTTGTCAGGGGGGACATGAAACACCAGAGCCAGGACCATCCTCTCTGTTCTCTGGCTTGCCCAGAGCAGCAGCAGGAAGTGCAGGGAGACAGGGCAGATGGGATACTGGATACCAGCACTGGACATCATTCTGGGATGGGACCGTTCTGCTTCGTGTCCTGCATGCACCTGACCCCAGTGCTCACCCAGGTCCTTCAAAAAACTGGATAAAGGCTCATCAAAGCTATGCTCCAAAAACAAATAAATTTAAAAACTCATTTTAAAAGAAAATTCCTTTGTACTGAACAAATCCTGGGTTTAGGCAACCAACACCTCTGTCTCCCACTCCCACACCAGCTCACTGCATCCACACCTTGGTGGGCAGGTCATTAAAACATCACCCTCAGCAAGCTATTATCTTCCCTCCCCCTTAATGTTAAAGTTCCTGAAGAGCTACTCCTCTCCTTCTAAAAAAATACTTTGGTTTTGAGTTTCACAGTATTTTAAACAGAATAATTAATCATCTTAACACAGCCCTTACAAAATATTAATTCACGCCAAAAAAAAAGGCTATAATCATATCCTCAGAGAAAAACCTTTTGTGCTTCAGGAATTTTCACTGCATGTCCTCCGAGGTGGGAGGAGAATTCTTCTGCTGCCTCCTATTCTCACATCTCAAATGGAAAATGTTTTGATAATGCTCTTCTGAATGTAAACTGTACCAAATGGGATTTTTATTATTTTTTTAAGCAGCTTTTTTTTCCCCAAAAGGAAGAACGGCTCTTTAAATAAACAGAGCGAACTACCCATTCCTTACAACAAAAACCACCCTCCCTTCACTCATTCACGCCATACCCTGGCACAAAATGAATTTACATTTCGCATTTGCAAAACAAATTCTCGCCTAATGTCATTTTAATGGGAACGCGCATTTCAATCCCTTCCAATAACAACGAGGAGCGGCTTATTCTATGTAAAACACCCCAATTTGTTTCTCTTTAAATATATGCGGATTTCAGACGGGGACAGGGACTAGAAGGACAGGAGAAGAGGAACATTTCCTCTCCGGCAATCCCCCTCCACCAGCACACACAAAAGCCACCTGCCCATGGAGAGAAAACACGATGCCATTATTCCCACCGTCATTCCCACGGCCCCTTGGACACCGAACGGGCGTGAGAAGGCCGTGCGCACCCGTCCCCGACACGCGCATCACGCCAGGTCACCGCTGGTACCCGCGGGTCCACCCAACTTGTCACCCCCCAGCGCTCCCTTCGGTCCCCCGAGCCCGCCCCGCTGGACGTGCCCGTGCAGGGGCTGGGAAGAGGAAAGCGGGGGCTGATGCCACCCCTAAAGATGTTCCAAGCAGGGAAAGCCCCTGATGGAGAGGACAAAGAGGAACGCTCGGAGCTGTTGGAGAGATGCATTATGTTTATAAGCCCATCTACCGACGGAAAGGACAGGACCCCCGTGGGAGCGCGGGTGGGGGTGCTCAGGGGTGAGAGAGAGAACGCGGCTGAGGGGTCGGGGAGGGCAGCAGGGCTGTGTGCCCTCCATATAAACCCCCGACGGACACTTTGGTGGGGGGAGAAAGAGGGATGGTCTTTATTTTCCCCCTCGGACTGGACGGACGGGGTCCAAGCTGCGGGCAGCGGCCAGTGACCCCCGGGCAGTCGCACCCCCCGAGGCGCGGGGAGGTCACTCTCGCCCTCCCACCCCCTCAAACCCCAAGCCAGCATCTTCCCGGAGGAGCGCACGGCAGTCCCTGCCCCCGGGGCAGGATTTTCCTGTCAAACCACAACCGCGCCAGACAAAAGGCTTAAGTGCAGGAGGGGATAGGGGGGTGGGGGACGGGAGAACGGACACAGACGAGCCCCCGGGGGCCCCGTCCCGGCACTCACCGACTTGCAGCACGTTGTCCACCGCGCCGGTCTCCAGCAGGCGGATGCCGCGGCGGAAGGGCAGCCCCTCGCCCTGCGGCGCGGCAGGGGCGGCGGGCGGCGGCGGGCCGGCGGCGGGGCTCTCCTCGCCGGCCGGGGCGGGGGCGGCGGCGGCCGAGGGTCCCCCCGCGGCGGCGCTGGCGGGGGAGGCGGCGGCAGCGGCGCGGCCGGGCTGGAAGCTGGAGTACATGCAGATCTGCCGCTCGCTGCGGGGGAAGCTCCAGTAGACGATGCGGCGCTGGACCGGCTCGGGGATGCGCTGGAAGCGGCCCTCCACCCGCTCGAAGGCCCAGCTCCCCGCCACCCGCTTGGCCGCCGCGTCCAGCAGCGACTCGGGCTGCAGAAGGCTGCCGGTCCCGCCGCCCCCGCCGCCGCCCCCCGACCCCGCCGCCGCCGCCGCCGGCCCCACCGCCCCCGCCGGCCCCGCCGCCGCCGCGGGGCAGCAGCCGGGCAGCGCCGGAGGGGCCCCGCTGGCCCCCGCGCCCGGCCCCGCCGAGCCGGCCCCCGCGGCCCCGGGACGGGGGTGCACGGCCCCGGTGCCCCCCGCTGGGCAGGCCCGGGAGCACAAGCGCTTGGGGCCCGGGGCGCCGGCGGGCAGCGGCGGGCGGAGCAGCTCCTCTCCCTCTCCTCCCTCCGCCATGGCTGCGACCGACTGAGCCGGGCGAGGGGAGGAGAGACGCCGAGGAGGAGGAGGAGGAGAGGGCGGGGACCGGGGGGGTGGTCCCGCCGGCCGGGAGCCGGCCCCGCCGGGGCGGGACGCTCCGCAGCCCCCCGCCCGCCCCCGCCGCCCGTCGGGGCGCCGCTGCCTGGGGCACCTGTCGGGCTGCCGCCGCGGTGAGGGCCAGGCCCTGGGCGCCTCCCGGTGTCCTGGCCGTGTCCCCCGGCGGGAGGGGACGCTGTGTCCCCCGTGCCCGGAGAGGAAAGACCCGCGACTGCGGGTCCCCACGGCGCTGCTGGGTGAGGGGCTGGCGAGGCCGTCCGAGCGCCAGGAGCCTGCCCTGAGCCAGCGGGACAAAGGGACACGGCGGAGCTGGAGGTGGCAGCGCTCCCCCGGCTGCTGCGTGCCCGGCGGTGCCCGGTGCAGGCCCAGTCTGACCCACAAAACAACACCCAGCCTCACCCGTAATTCACCTACGCTTTTACATCAAGTAGCAGAGCAGACAGCAGTGCCCTGCCCTTCCATGGGCACCAGGGTTTGCTTTTTCTTTTTAAGCCCTGTAGTGAAGATGGTCGTCCTACACATCATAGCAGGGTTCTCAGGTACAGGAACCGCCAGGTCCTTCAGTGCACTTAGCCTTTGTGGGAGAAGATAAAGAACATAGGTACCGCTGGCTTCCAGGAGCTCTCTCGTGCTCTCAGGTGGGATTACGTTAAAAGGACACATGAATATTTTCAGCACATACTGCCTGAATTGGCACTCCAAAATCTAGGGAGCTGACTCCTCACCAGCCTCTGCTTTCAGACAAGGGTGATGGCAGCACCCCTGGGACCAGCACAGCGTGGGGCTGATGGGGAGAGGGCTGCAACAACTGAAATCCACTTCTCTGGGCCTCTACACCCTGCCATCACTTTGCTGTTGTGTTCAGCAGGACACCATTCCAAGATTTTCCCCAGAAATATGTTCCTGGTTTTATGTCCTGTCTAAATTTAAGTGACAAACCTCTGAGGAAGAGCAGAGCTCACAGGTCTCCAAGTTCAGTTTTCTTGCTATTATTCTCAGTGCTTTGAGAATCCAAGACCAATTCCTTCCTATCTGCAGTTCAGTCACATCTAAACCATTACCGGTTACTCCCTCGTTGCAGAGATCTCCTATTTATTCTTACTGACAGTGCAAAAGTACATTTCCTGGAATAACAGGGCTATGCAATTAGGGAACAGGAAATAATTATGCGCCTTTGCTCCGCCACGAGATACCTCCAAGCCCAAGGTCTCCTCTGCAGGACACAGAGGGAAGGAATCAGGTCTCAGGCAGGTGGTGAGAGCAGGCAGAGCTACTGCAATGAGAGATCTCCATTTTAGAGAGTAAGCCACAAGCTAATCGATGAAGGTCAGGAAGAGGTTTTCCTTGAAGGCTGAGGTGTTCCTTGCTGCCGTTGGTCTTGTTCAAAGTAATGAGTGCTAGCAGTGGCAGGGACTAGCCTGGGGCAGCAGCTACACGCAGATTTGTTTATGCACAGATTTTCCCCAGGAACCACGTCCCCATTTCTTTAACCCTGAAGGCCATTTTGCTCTCTGTAAGAGTTTGTTGCAATAGAAAGCACTTGCCACAGGAGAACGGCATTTTGCCCATCACCTCTGCTCGCTGCTGTGGTGACAGGTCCCGGGGTGACAAAGAAGGGCTTTGTCCACCTCTGCCCCTCCCTGGCTGCACAGAGGGACCTCACAGGACCATCCCAAAGCACCCTCCTAGCCCAGGGTGAAGCACACCTTCCTGGCAAAGAGCACTCCAGCAATCTCAAGCCTTTTCTGATGATGAAAGCTGTGGGCTCTGTGGTGTCACAGAATTTCTGCTGGCACCTGTGTCTCTCTGCAGCTGCCAGGGCTGCTCAAGCGCAGGGTGAGACTGCATGAGAGCTGGGACACAGCACCCCAGCTTGTCTGGTCCCTCTGTCACCAGTCACTGCAGAGCTCACCTAGTGACAACCTTGAGTGTCCTTACTTACGTCGTCCCCTGACAGTGCCAATAAAGAGGATTTTAGACTTCAGACCAAGCAGGGATGTTATTCATTGCCAATGAGCTGACTTTTCATTGCATAAAACATGTAATCCAGACTCAAATCAAAGCAAGGCTGGTGCAGTGGCTGGCCAGCCTGTCTCTGGGGGGTTAGCGTGTTATTTCAAAGACAAACCAATTTTTCCTCTCTCTCTTCATTCTGAGCATTTGTTGCTCCCCATTCCTCCCCATCCCTCCCCATCTTTCCCTATGCCTTTCATCACTGCCTTGAATTTTGCAAGGGGGAGAGTTCTCCTCCTCCCAGGGAATGTGGACAGACCTCTTCTCCCTGGGGAAGAATGCAAAATGTCAGCCTCCTGCACAGTCCCTGATGCTGCTCATTCAGAGCCTGGAACCAGGTACATCAATAATTCACTGCACGTTTTCCTGAGCCCAGCCATTTGCTGAGCCTCTACCACTGGCAGCCCAGGTTCCCCTCCTGTTTTCAAGACTGTTTTGTCAGGGTCTGCCCATGCTGCAGCCCACCAACTCCAGCCCTTCTGGCCTGATCACTGGTGTTATCCACCAAGTGCTGTGTCTTGGTTTGAAAAGACAGGTGTCTGCTAAGGAAGGCAGGAACCTCCCTTGAAAAGGAAAAATGTAAATGCCCCCACCCCCCTCCCAATTATTATAGTCTTGAAATCGAGTGGCTCTCAGACAAAGACACTGGGAGTAGGAATAACAGTTCTTTACTAGGGAAATTAACATAAAAATGCAGTAGTATGAAACAAAAAACACTGTCAGAGAACACAGCCTGATACCCTGTTTGTCAGGGTGTTGGTAGCAGTCCTATTAAACGGTGGCTGCAGTCCTCCTGGAGTGACAGATGTGGTTCTGTTGAAGCAATGATCCTGTAGAAGAGTGTAGTTTTCCTCCGAAGGCCTGGTGGTGTAGATGGGTCTGAGCTTCCTCTGGGAATCCAGTGGAAGAAAGGCTGCCTGTGGTGTTCCAAATCTCCGATTATATCCAGTCAGGAATGCTTGGCTCTTCCCCCTGGGTGGAGCATCTCACGATGGGATGATGTCATTTTATCAGTCATGCAGTGAGGCTCAATGGCCCTTTAACAGAAGATCTCCCCCTGGAGTTATGAGGGATGGGTCATGGAAGAGATAAAGAACACTGCCCTACCTGGTTTTAACAATGGTAATAGAATACATACTTTTGGTTATATCTTGCATTGCAACCCAAGACCTGCTGATTTCTTCTGCTGGCTCCAGGAAGTATTTTATTTTGAGTCCCTGGCTAGAAAATTGACTGACCAAAGGGGCTGGAGCCCCAGGGGCTCTAGACCACAGCCAGGCAGCAATGCAAAGCAATATCCTTGGAAATTCTTTGGGTGCCAGCTCAATCAGAAGTCCAGCTTTAAGGTGCAGGTGCTGTGGAGTAAGAAAACTGCTTTCATCTTCCTAGAAATTAAATTCAAGGACTATAAAAAGGAGAAAGGACAAGGGTACTGATGAGATGCCTCTGTGAGCTTCTTGGCTCCTGTGCTTTGTTTTATGACAGTCAAGGTAAGTGATGGCTGGTACCACGTCTCAACTCAAGGGGATGTCACCCCCTTGGCTGCTCCCACCTGCACACCTTCATGTAGCTGTTCTCCTCTCTCCCCACCATGCCCAAACCCCATCCTCAGCAGAAAGACTGCCTTTCTCTGGGCATCTTCCCCTCTCTTGGATGCTCCCATGCTGCTTTGACATTGCTTTGGCTCCCAACAATCAATGCTGTGTCCTCACTAACATGAGTGACACTGCCTGAGCCTTTAGAGAATGACAGCAGAGCTTTGCGAGGCCCAGGGAGCACCAGGGAAGTTGTGGTGACAGATGAAGATACACAAGGGCAGAAGAAAATTTATTTTTAATAATATAATTATAATTATAATAATAATAATATAATTATAATTGTTATAATTAACAATGGGAAAGGAACAGGACAGTAGAGTGCAGGCAGACACCAAACTCCTGCTCCAGCCATCCAGAGCATTTGCTGCTGCAAAGCAGCCAAAGACAGGCTTATCAGCAGCCAAACTCCCTGATACAGCCTCCGTAGTACCCATTGGAAGTGTGGCTGTTTCTGCCTTTCCTATGTTGCTGATGCTGTTCAGAGCAGAGACAGAAGGGAAAGGACACAGGGAGTAACTGTAGCTCCCTTGCCCTGATGCATTTGGGAGCAGAGGAATCTATTGGCCGGGATAGTTATTCCTTAGCACCCCCATAGATCCAATGTCTAGGAAGAGACAGAGAGCATTGTCTTATATTTGGTCTTGCAAGCAAGAGGAGGGACACCTTGATTTGGTTGCCCATGGAGTTTAGCACCATTTTTAGATTTTCCAGTGCCTAGTAAGGTCTCCAACAAAGCATAGACTGGAGTTGGAGCTTTTTGCTGTCAAACTGTTCAAATCCCCTGTGGATTCTCCACTGATTCATTAGCGCTGAGTTATTGCTGTGCTCCTCTTCCAGCAGGGACTCTAATAAAGTGGCTTTTTGCTAGCCAGCCAGTTATTTTATGAAACTTTCCAGAACTGACAAGCTCAAAGGCCTCTTTCAGGTGTGACTGCAATTGTCTGTGTACTCAAAAGAGAAATACAAGGACTGTATGTAAAGAGATGAAAGTACCATCTCCCCTCACCAAGCACAG